ACTAGAGTATATTTTAAACAATATTTCTTATATATACCAGATAATCTTGGTACAATGATTTTCCATTAATTCTTACAAATGAAACAGAATTCCAAACAATCAGAAATAATGGTATTAATATATTCAAAACCTAATATTAATGAACCTAAGATATCTGTTTAAAAATTAATTAGAGCACACTTTTTTATCAATGTACAACTAGCCATTATAATTTTATTATTATTAATATTATATAGTTTTAAACTTAAAGCTTAAATCTAAAATTTAAGCTTTTATAACATTACATATTGCTGTCTGTAAGCTGCAAATTCCATATATGAATAAAATAATTTCTGAAAGTTTATAAATTAATCAGAAAATTTAATGAGAAGATAAAAACAAAATGCTAATGATGTCTTATCTTCTCAAATATTTCTCTACTTTCATTGTATATGAACATAAATTTAGTGCATATTTTGTTTGGTTGCTGTGCAATTTATACAGTTTATCTTATATACTTATGATTATTTGCTGAATACCCAAAAACCATAAAGTTTAGAATAAGTTATCAAGTAAAAAAAAATGCTTTATTAGTAATCAATGCTAATTATTAAAACAGAAATTGATATCAGGCACATTCATTTTCCTCATATCTTTTAAGTTTACTAAAAAAATAATAAAAATTTTTCTCCATTATTATTATTATTATTATATTTAATTAATATGTTTCTGATTTATATTAGAATTTACATGTAGAATGCTTGTTATTAGGCAATAAATGTAACTTGATTATTTTCTGTCTTATTTTCTTGCTCAACTTAAAAATTATTTTAAATTTGTTATATGCGCATTCACAAATGAGTGACAATTGATATTGAAAAATGGTACTTAATGAATACTAAGCTATCTGTTGAGTTTTGTTAACTGAAATTCATTTTTATACAGTTTTGAAGTCTCTTATCAGTGAGATAATATAAAGTTATAAAAATTACTTGTTCAATATGTATTTAATATAACAATTAGCTGCCCAAATATAATGTAAATAAAAAATAATTATTTTTGAAAATTAAAGTTTTGAATAAAACTAAATTTCATTATTTATAAATAAACAGTCATATTTAAAAGAATATTATGCAAAATTTTAAGATATCACACAGTTATATTAATTGCATAATATTTATAAAAAAATTTTTAATAAAATTTTATTGATTCAGCTTTTTTATCAGATTTACTGTCTCCTTAATTTTAATTAATTTTTCTATATAATAATTTTTATGGCTATTTCACTACATTACACAAAATATTAAATTTATGCAGACAACAACCACATTAAAAATCATTAAAGACAATCAGTTCATAATCATACCGTATTTTCATTGAATGACTGGCATGCCGCATAATATTGAAAGAGATCAGCATGTCAGTTAAACTGCGACTAATATAAAATTAACCAGATCTAACAAAACTAGTTGTTAATTAAGCATTAAAGAAAACATTCTTCAGGATAAAATAAAATATTAATATTGTAATTTAACTGACTTAAAATCAGAAAGGGAGTTTTCATTTACAAGATAATAAAACAATTAATGACTTATTGGTAGTAGCATGTTTTCACATGCTACTACCAATACTACCAGGTGGTGGTTGTGGTAGTTAGTCAGGGTAGACCACACTGACCATCTAACCTGACCTTAACAATAAGACCTTCCTCACAAATTTCACACAAAGCCTATGTTAATAGGCGTAAGCTGAGATAATTTACAGAGAGTTTGTTAAATTTAATATATTTATTTTTGTGTTTTTAAATCAAACAACAATAAAATACACCCCCCAAAAAAGCACTTTCAGAATTCCAAGAGTATTTTATGTCATTAGAAAGAAGACAAAATGAAGAAATTAAACATATAATAATTTTTGATGTAATGCTAACAGTTTCACAGGTTTAGAATAAAAGCAAGTTTGTTTTTATGTGATGTAACTCATTTGGTTTTTTTAATGCACCCTTTAGAGAAGGATGTATAACCTCACTTAAACTAGCATGCCAATCATTCTTCAGTATTACAGTATTGTTTGAGGGGAATAAAGTAATTTAAATTTTAAATAACAATAATTTTAAAATATTTCTAATAACAATAATCACACCTTAATATAGTTCATAATTTTTTTGAATATAATAATTACTCCACCTCAAATCAAACTCAACTGCAACTCTGATGGTAAGATAAAGGTAAGAACATACATGATAAAGTCTGTGATGATGTCAATATTTTGTGAAAACATGCTATATCTAAATGATTTTGATTCATATAATGAAAAACATTTTTTATGAAAAAATAAGTTTTAGTTTGATTTCTACTTATGAATGGATATTTAAGTGTAATAAGTCTTATTGGTAATGACATGTAATTTCAAAAAATAAAAATAAAAAAAAACTAGTAATTTAAATATAAAAAGCTTATATATTTACTTGATCTCTTACTTTCCTCTGAAAATGTTCAAAAAATATAAAAATTTTAAATGTTAAGAGAATTAAATATTTACTAATTAAAATAAAAATTAGTTGTTATAATATTTGCCTAAATATATGTTATCCTAATGTGTAGAAACATAAGATTATTAACTATTTAAAAAAATTCTGAAATTTAAACTCTATTTAATTATTTTGATTTTAAAATAATTAAAAAAACAAACTGACATTTAATAGGCATTAATTAATTACTGGAAAATATCCTAATAATAACAACTTTTTGTAACTTTAATAATATCTAGTTAAGTGTTTAGAAAAGAAATATATAGATTAAATATACTGCAATGATGTCTATACTACATAAACAAAAAAAAAAAAATATATCTATTTTATGAGTTATAATGAGGTTTAAAACAAAATTTCTACAAATGTTTTGGAAAACATTCCAATTCTATGCACAGTAAGCTAGAACTTCTGTATGTAAGTTTCAAAACACCTTTCTCTCTTTTTCTAGCAAATTCTTTAATTAAGTCAAATAAACTAATGTTCTCAGCTATCTTAAATGGTCTTCTTTAGGTTCTTCAGGATATGCTCTAATTGACATTCCAATTATGCTTAACCTGAAGAAGGTCACTTAAAATAGCTGAAAACATTAGTTCATTTGACTTAAATACAAGAATTTGCTAGAAAAAAGAGAGAGAGGTATTTTGAAACTTATAAAAACATTTCATTATTACAATCAGATATCTTATGATTTTATAAATTTGAAATTACACATTTAGTCAAATCCTTATAATTATTATTAAAAGAACATAAAAATTATTAAAATTATTTATACTATATTATCAGAGTTCCCAAATAATAGCAAAACTCCATACTATCTAACAGACTAAATGTTCAAAAAACCAAATTACAATTTCAATGTTCACATCTGTAGAATGTTCAGACAATGGACAGAGAAAGTCCAAAAGTGCTTAGTCTGATATAGAAAAATAAATTATTTAAGTGACTTCTATAAGCAGAAAATAACACTTCCTAAATAAAGTAATAGTTTTTTCAGAATTTCTAAAAGAATTATTCAAATATGGTCCTCACACTATTTTCAGAAGTATATCATTATTCATAATAAACTGAAATAAAAAATCTAGCAACAAGTTTCCCAGCAATTATGAGATTTTATTATTAAAATTTTTTTATAGTATTAATTATTACAAAATACAAAAAAACTTAATTTTGAGGGTAGAGATGAGTTTTATAAAAAAAATCATAAACACTAATAATGAGTAAAATATTTATTAAGTCTGACCCCTCTCAAGAGTATGAGTATGACATAAGATCATAAAGGACTTTAAAAAATGTTGTTTTTCCAACAATTTGGACAGAACATAGGATAACGTCTGTTCAAGAATGTTGAAGATCATAATGACAATGAAATAGGAACCACGAATGATGCAATGAAAGTTCTGATGAAGATGAATGTGATGAAGTATTATTTCAATGACTCTCTAAATTTTTCTAATGTAAATAAAATTAATAATAAAAAGTTGACTTATTGATATATTTAGGCTCTATTTTTTTTCCTTGAAAGTAAGAATTCCAAAATTTCAAGTTTACAGTAGAGTGTCATTTATCTGAAAGAATTCCAGCAATTTAAATTTTTGCTAGTGCTGTGGTGCTGCAATCTTTGACTATATCTTGGGCTACTCCAATATTTTTTTTTGTTGGTGTGTGTGTTTTAGCTCGCAGCACTGGCAGTTTTGTATGGTGTTTTTCTGAGGACTGTGTGTTGTGCTGAATTGAATGTTTTTGATACTAGATTAACTTCTAAAGTATAATTTTTTTGTTTTTATATTTTTCAATATATTTATATTGTTTGTAAAAAATAAAGAAATAATTTTTAACGATACAATAGCCACAATTATCATTTTAAAAAGTTTACATTAGGCTTAACATCGACGAAAATTCAACACGAAGCGACACACAATGGAGAAAAATTTCAACATGGGATAGGTTAATATATTTTTTCGTACATAATTGGTTATCCGAACAACCTCAGTCCCCAATTGATTCAGATAAACAACGCTCTACTATACTTATATTCAGGCCAAATATGGTACTTTCATCATTTAAAAGAAATTTTGTAATCTTTGCAAACATTTCTGTAAAATATGATAAGTCTATGAAAAGATACTAAAATAAATTTTATTACTTAATTTGTTTAAGAAAGAACTGAAGAAAGAATATGAAATCCATTGACACTGTAACAGAAGCAAGTAATCAATGTATATTATAGTTTCCAACTAACCAACTAACAAAAATGCATAGTTTCTGAAACAATTCAATGCTTTCTTTTGATAACCTGAGCATTCATTGCCAAATACATCTGCTAGTATGAAATAAGAAAAAAATTTTTGAATTGACATGTATTTTGGCAAATATGATAAATAATTTCTACTGCTGAAATAAAATTAATTTCATTAAAAAATTAAGTTCTTGAACTGAATGTCTTATTAGGAAAAAACTGTATTATTAACATTATTTGAAGAAAATATACCTTTCTTGCTTCTTCTTTTAATCTTTCTTTTTCTCTAGCTTCAGCTTTTTCAAGTAACTAATAATTTAATAATAAATTTTATTTAAATTTTGTCTACATTGAATATTTATATTTTTATATTTAATTATACTTACACTGTTAAATGTTAATTTTACATTTCCACCATCAAGTGTACCTGATCTCTTATCTTCACTTACAACAGTGGCAAACTCTTCAAAAGTTGTTTTTATATCAACACTAAAATTTCTTTCCTAAAAATTTTTTTTTTTGAAAAAAATTCAAATAAGAAAACAGTATATTTAATTTAAAAATAAAAATACAATTATTGATTACTTTTAATATTTCTTTGATTATTCTCTTTTCATCATGGAAACGAGCCTTAAGATCTTCTACAAAAAATTTAAATAGATCCAAGGGAGTTGAACCTAGAGCAAACACTTGTAATGTAACAATGTAAGAAAATATGAAAAATTTATAATATATTAAATAAATTTTAGTATGAAATTCATATTTATTAATAAAAGTGCACATTAATAAGTTTTAAATATACTAATAAGATCCTATTTTAGTAACTTAAATATATTGAATTAAATTCTACCACTGAGAAAACATTTAAGATCTTTAGTTACTAGTGTTAAATCAAAAGATTTAAATTTCAGAAAACACCACTTGTTTGGAAATTATTAGGAGACACATATATAATTCTAGCATGCACAAACAATCATTATACTGGTATGAATTAGCTGTTATTCAAAAATTAATTTCTTAACAAGCATAAGAAATACTAATATAAAAATGATTACATATAAATTGCATTTATGATCATTTTAATTAGTAATAAGACGATTTTATTTTAAATATGTTATATAACTTTATTTAACTTGAAAATATAATTTTTTTGTTAGAATAAATAAAATTCTGGATTGGTTATATTTCATAATGAAAATATTTAATTCTAGATTTAGCTGTTTTTCAACATTATTATATTTATTTATTCAGAAAAGCATAAAGCATCAAAACAACTTATTTACCTGGTTGTCCTAACATATTAGAGAAACGAAGATCAGCACTAATTGTAGGATATAATTCTACCCAAAGAGACATTGATGTCAACTTTCCAACTTCATGAAGTTGATTTAATAAGTGCTAAAATGCAATAATATTTTTGGGTTGATTAACAGTATTTATATACACATTAATATTAAATTATAATATAATTCTGAATTGAAAAAAATTATAAAGATTATTTTTAATATAATTATTACAATAAATGCTTCTCTATTTTTCCTTTGCTGTCTTCTTACTCTCCTCCTTTCTCTTTCTTTTTCTTCTTCTTCCTCTTGTTCTAATTGACGAATATGTTCTTCAAATACAATCAGTGCATCTTCTTTATCCATATCTAAAATAATAAAATTTATAAAAATTATCAAATGTTATATTTCAACACAGTTTCTAAAAAGCAACATTTAATGAGTCATAAAATAGTAACACCAAAGAGAATATAAACTATATTACATTATAAACAGAAATCATCATTAAAGCAATAATAATATTAGTAATCAAATGATATTAAATAAAATATTAATTTGGATATGTAATATTAATAAAGTAATATTTAATATAATTCTATTTTAACAATTTAAAAGAATATTTAATACATAGTAATTTTTTCTTTCTGTTTGTTTTATCTTATGTTAGTTCTTTTATTTTTCATTAATTTATTTTAATTTTATGTAAAAATTCTATTCTAACTGTTCTGAATTTTTAATTTTAAATTTGGTTTTAATGTATGTATTCTCTGATACATTATTTTAAGCTGTTATATACTAGTAGTAAAATAAATTTTCATTGTGTACAGCGTTATTAATAGTTTTCTTATCGAGCGCTTTCAACGAATATATTTTCATCGTCCTCAGGTGAAATAAAAAACTTTTTTACAAAGCTGTTATATACAAGATTTTAAACTGAACATGTCAGAACTTGATCAAAAACATTACTTTTGTTTAATAAATGTTGGCTTCCTGAAACAAGCAGTGACTTCTTTATTTATTTAATATATCAATATGAATAAGCAATACACAATATGCTTCAACATATTAACATTTTTTAATTCAATGGTATTGTATGATAAGCACTTAAAATTTATCAAGAATCCCTTGATAATTTAAAGTTTTTAAATCCTTAATTTTTGCAACTTCTAGGGCATTTTTAAAAATTAAAGTTACAAGTATATTTGTCAAGACCATTCATATGTGATAGCATCTATATAGTAGATGATTTACTAGGAAGAAAAACAAGTAACACTTGGGGACTTACATTGAAATGGCCCCACTGGAAACCACCCTTTATTTATTTTTTTAATTTTCCTTGGTGAGTTATGAAAATAATGTAGACCAAATTGTTGGAAAGCATTGTGTGACTATTTTTAATGGCATCAATAATAAACCATTCAGGTAAAGATCCTTCAGCACACTGAAGCTTGTAAAAATTATTTGCATACAACATTAAAGCAAGAGAAACTTCAGGTTTAAGCCTTTTGTTTATTGAGAATGATAAATTGTCTTTTTATGATATGATTGAGCAGTTTGTGGTTGAAGTTGTAATATACATGATAAACTATGTAATAAACTGTGTATTAATGATAAATGAGTTTAATCTTTCTTTCAATTTCTGCCTTTCTTATGATTTCCTATTTTTTTTTAGTTGCAAGAGGATCCAAAAATTTAAATTGCTTGGGATTCCTTCAAAGGTAAATCTAGCACTTGCATCTACTGCTAATCTTTCAGTTTTAGGGAAGCTCTTTAAATATCTTGATTTCTATTTTTGGTCCAAAATTTCATTTACATGAGTTCTTCCAATATTCATTTTAGTTTATACTTACCACTAACTACTATCTTAAATTACATATACTTAATTTTTCCTTTTCATTCAATTTTAATACTTCAACTTTTTCATTTAAACATTTACATTCAAGAGACATTTTAACACAGCTTTTGAAGACATAACTTAATACAGAAGGAACAGAGTGAAAGGGTTTTGAGAGTCAAGTGCTGTGATGTCAACTATCATTTTATATTTTGAATTTTATTTTATTATCACAATTTTGAGCAGATAATTTGCAGATTATCTCTGTCTTAAAGATAATTTGAAAAGAGTGCTGGTTATGTGATAATTTTAATTCCAATCATGAAATAAAGTTAATTCACACTATGTAACTGGCTGGAAATTCACGTACTTCAAAAGATTAAGATTTAATTTTTTAATATATACTGCTAATTATTTTGCTTTCTATGGCCATCCTGGAAACACAAGGTATGTAAAGGTTTTATTTTCATTCTTGGAGTTTTCTGTAGGGTGTACACCACTGTGGGTTCCTACCCAAAATTATAGTAATTTTATTTATTGGGCTGCAATTTGAAAAATTGTAGACCTATAAATTCCCACTGTTGTCTGTATTTCCTTAATGTTGAGAAAGGAGTTAGATGGATGAAATATGAGATGAAAGCTTAGGGACAGAAGACCCTGACTAACTAACTATATATGAACTTCTGATGAAAACTGGAAGTCATGCTATTTCAATTCAAAAATTTTTCCTGTAAGGAGTTAGATGACAGCAAGATTCTGTTGCTAACAGGAAAAGTATGATGTGCAGGGGCAAGACACTACTAATTTGATGTAGAAAGTATATATTTTAAATTAATTAAAAAAAAAAAAAGATTAAAAATTGCAACCTGGCATTGTGATGATGTCACAATAAATAATTGCTTGTTGTGTTTAATTATATCATACAGTACCATAATTATTGCAATTGTTCATTAACTTTTTACAACCTCCATTCTCTGGACAACAGATAACTGATTCCATGGAGCCATTGTTACTTTGCACACCATATAGTAATTTGAATAGGTCAATTTAAGCACAATATTTTGTTTTTATGCTTTTAAGATAACAACAAAATTTTTTGGTTTGTAATATAAAAATTTTAAAAATTCTAAAAATGTATATAAAATAGTAAATAAAAATGTAAATATGTACAAGTACCTAAAGCATAAAGTGCAAATTATGTAATAAAAGTTTATTAGCATTGTAGTCTTAACAGCAAAGTTTAAATTCTTCACACAATCAACACCTATTGTCAACTTAATTTTTGACCTAGTGTACTGTACAATACATATTTTAAAGACATGTTAGCCAAACTATTAAAAACTAAATTTTAATTTTTAAGTATTTTTGACTTTGATTTAGTTTTTATTTCAAATAATAACTGTCCATTATAATAAAATTTAAAGTATTTACATGTACTATTCAGAATGCTTGCTATTAAAAACTGAAATATTTATAAAATATCAATAAAAATTTTATTCACATGACTTAACTTCTATTACTGAGAGCATTACAGAAAGTTTTATTGTAGCTACTTTAATAAATATTTAAATTCAGGCAAATTTTTTAATGAAATAAACAAAACTTATCTTGTCCAATGATATGAAATTTTTCTTCCAGAATAATTAACCATTTTTCAAGAAAAACTCTATGTGTATTTTGCAATGGAAAAATTTTGATTATTTATTTTTAATTTAAATTTCTTTAGAGAGCAAGTTTAGTTAAGAAGAAATAAAAAAATATATAATAAACATTCAAAGATATTAAGCAACAGAACTATAATAAAATTTAATTATAGTCAGAATGTAGAAGTACATTTAAATTTAAATCAATTATAAATTTCCCACAAACGTTTTCAAGTAATTTCTTGTTATTCATGCAATTTCAATAAAATAAGAAAGCCGATAAAGTTTAACAAAAAATGTCCAAAGGATATACATTATTATAAATGAAATTTTATTTGTATATATAAATACACTAAAATAACATTACACAACAAAAAAATTTTGATTAAAAACTATTTGATTTTTAAAAATAAATATTAATTAAAAATTTTAAGATTCTGTAAAATACTATGCTTAAAGTATACATTTTACTCATTTTCAAAAATTTTATTACAGAATGTATTTAATTTAATTCAGATTAGTTATTCAGAAATTTTTATTTTTACAAATTTGAAAATTTTCAAATCTGTAAAAATAATAAAAGTGCAATATTCAGAAGATAGGAAATATCTAAAAATAAATCCAAATACATTTACTTTTTTAAAAAATGCTTGTTAAATTACATTAATTGTATTCTGCAGAGATAAAATTTTCTAAATCTTTGTTTTTTCTTCTGAATAACTAATCTTTGGCTAGTTTATAGTGAAAATGTATATTTCAAGCATGTCTAAATTTGAATCATAGTTGAATGTAATTGAAATAAAAGTTTAATAAATACGAGAGACTATTTAGATTCATACTTAAAAGATCTGTATCCTCAGCAAAAGTTGGATTATCTAATAACAACTGTTGAGCTTCTTGCCATGTTGTTTGATATGTGATTGACGTCATTGAATCTAATACATCACTCAAAACGCGCATATTTCTCTTCCTCAAAGCTTTAGCTTCTTCCTAAAGACATTTTAAATTTATAAATTACATTAATGATTTATTTGATATATTTATAAATTAAAAATAGTTTATATAAAAGAAATATTTATATTAAAATTAAAACTGGACCTCAATTACTTATCATAATACATAATTATTACATTATTAAATGTCTTATATTTAAAAACAAGAATATATTTTAATAATTATGATATATGAAATCAAACTTTCATATATCATTAATAACAGATTTATCTTTTTTAAATATTCAGTTATGTAGAAATGTTATAAATTCATTATTTTCTCTTGATATAAAATATATATGAAGTTGATTGATAAATAAGATCTCCTATCATAGCATTACATGAAGTTCAGGGATACAAACATGTTCTGTAGTCATGAGTATCTTGTCTGTATGAACTCAGTCTGAGTTTATTATACTGTGTCATTGTATAAGTCTATGCATAAACTCTTCCTTTCTCTGTACATAGTAGTAATTGGAAAATTGAACACCTATTTAAAGTCCCAGATGGCTGCAAGCTGTTTATAGTAGTGGGTGTGTGGATGTAAAAAATACTCAAAAGTGCAGAAAGCTGCAATAAAAGCAAGATGAATGTTTCTGATAAACAAAGACCAAGTCAACAAATTTCAGTAATGCATGAGGATAATCATGCTTGAGTTTGTGCACTACTTTGAGAAAATTGCCAGATTTGGTTTTGTTGATTTACTGTAAGATGCTTGTAAAAGGCCAACCTGGCCACAGTGTCTTTTGAGAAATAAAATAAAATAAGCAAAGGAAAATTGCAGTCTAAGTACACATCAGTCAAGAAAGAGTGCAGCACATGATCCAGTTTTTAAATTATGTAAAACTCTACATCAGATGGGTCCTAACAATTGATTGATATCACAAAAGAACAGTGGATAAAAAAACCCATCATTTATTTCATTAAGATGATGACTATCCCACTTAAATCATTATTGACAGTGAGTCATGATGTGTTCATTATAATGACCTAGAGAATAAGATATAGTCAATGCAATATTGTCATCCTTATTAACTGCTTGTTAGGAAATTCAAAATTGTTTGTTCTGTTCAAAAGGTCATGCTAACAATTTTTAAAAATGGAAAGTTGCATGGAGTATCTGGCAAAATGAGAAACAATCAATTTGATGAAATAGTTTGAAAGGTTATGAGCACTCAATATAGATATATTTGCAAAGGCCAAAGAAAACCATCTTTTTTGCACTGTGATTATGCAGAACTGTACCACAGCAAGGAAATAGTAAAAACACTTCAAAATGGTTCTTTTCAAAAGGAATGACATTTAAACACTGTATGTTTATTCAAAAATATTTCAAAGTAACAAATTAAACAAGTAACAGCTAAAAATGATTACAAATGACTTAATCTCAAAAACTTATATTATTCCATCATTAAAATCAACTCCAAACACACAGTTGTTTACATCACTTGGACAATTGCAAACTGTGTGCAATTCCCCAGAAGTATTTGTCAAGAACAATACTATGCTTCTTGACAACAGCTGCAAGCCCCTCTTCTTTCTGATTTATTCTTTCTTCCTTGATTGATCTTTCATAGATTTATCATTGAACATGTCACAGTTAATGTAATAAATTGGTTACTATGCATAATTACTAGTTATTTTACAAAATAATCAATATTTTCAGTCAATGTAATAAAATACATGCAATTAATTATTTTCTCCAGTTATTCTACATAACCCAAATCTTTTGTCTGAAATGATAAATTATACAATATTTTTTTGTTAAAGTTTTTGTTTTAAATAAACAATTCTCTAAAAGTTGTAAAATCACATAAGTGTAGTTACCTTTAATAAATTACTAATCCATATTTTATTAATTTACAAAATCATAATTTCCTATTTGTTGGAACACGACAAATGGTCATGAAATTTCAAATTAGAGTATTTCATACCCTTTGCAGTTAAATTTTGTCAAAAGACATTTTTGCTTGCAGTTATGCTTGTACTCTTAACCACCATGATAGATGATTTTCTGGTACATTTGCAGAGACACAAATTATGTCAAATTAATCCAAAGACACAAATTAATCCATAAGCATGTCCTTGTGATGGTTTTATCCATAACATTAATTTTAGAAGAGGAGTTATTAAAGTCTCTTGACAAATGACAAACTTGTTCCTTAAATACTTTTAAGCCCATTGGCCCTTTTTTGATGCCAATCTCATACATCTTGCCATAAGCATCCACCTAACCCCTATGTTCCTGGCCCCTAAAATGTTCCTGGAGTCACTCCTTCCCCTATTGAATCCTATTGAATCAGTAACTTGCAATGTTTAACAGTGTCTCTAATCTTGTCCATTGTTAACTTTCAGTCAAATATTTGTCTCATCTTTTTTTGCATGAGACTGCAATGCACTTCTGGCATATCTCTCTTTTTTAATACTATTGATCTGATCAGTAATAACATTCTCCCCTAAATTGCCCTTCATAGCTCTCTCTCTATCCTCTACTTATCATCTTCCTCATCACTTTTCTCTATTTGTCTATCTTTCTTGTTGCATTTAATAGATGTGGAAGGTGCCATATATAATTGAGACAGGTTCAACCTTGTAGAAAAGTGAGATTTATCACTATAAACTAACCCAACTTCACAGCCTGTAACCGGTGTGCTTCTTCTCCAATGAAAGCAGAGGACTTTGCAAATGTTTTCAAACCTAATGTGGTTCTTCTCAGGTGCTATGGAATTCTCTATTTGAATTTGAATTTCCAGTCGAAAATTAACCATTGGCATGGAAAATCTTTCTGGAACATTGTCACGCTACAGGCAGTGAAGTTGGGTTAGAGATTTATCACTTTAACTAGAGGATGTTGGTTATTATTCATAATAACAAGTTAATGTGATTTTACAAAAACATGAATAACTTATCACAACCGTCAAAACTATTGGTTACCAGTATTATGCAGACTACCCAGCAATTATGCATATTCTTTGTCTGTAACAAATATACCCCAAGCAGTGATGTTCAATTACCATTTTGTAATTTTAAGATTAAGTGTAAATATGTTCTCTTTTCTTTTCAGGTTGTAAAAATTAAATTTATACCAAAATTTTTCCTATTTAGGAAAAGAAAGAATACCAAAGATACTAAAACTCAACATGTGAATAAAATGCACATTACATAGACTACAACTACAACTACAGAAAATTTTGAACGAAGCAATGACATCATGATGATAAATAGGAAAAATAAACATCAGCACAGAAAACAACTTAACAGCTCTACTTTGTGCCTTAAACTTGTTGCACATACTGTACATTAATTTGGCTTAAAGTTAGAACATCTTAAGCAGTATCAGTTTGGGGCAATGGGTTTATGAGTTATAAAGGAGAGATGAAATCAGGAGAGGGGCGAAATGTCCATATTTCCTGGTAGCCAAGCATGTCCTTGTAAATGGTTTTATCCACTCGGTTATTGGAAGGTACTTATTGGACTGGAATTTGAAAAATTATAGACCTATAAATTCCCACTGTCTGTTCTTTCTTAATCTCGAGAATGGAGTTAGATAGATGAAAGTTGAGACCAGACATGAAAATTCTAAGAGTAAGATTAACTATATATGAACTGATTTGTACCACAAGTCATGTTATTTCAATTCAAAAATTTTTCCCCTGAATGAAGTCAGATACATAACTGGAATCACTCTATTTCTAACAGGAAACATATGATGTACAGGGGCAAAACACTACTACACTCCACACACACAAGTGCTATGTGCTACCTATCGCAGTGATTTTGTTTTTATTTTATTTTTATTTTGCATTTATTTTGTGCTATATCATTGTCACAGTAATTCAGTAAATATAATTTATATTTTTAAAAATTATATTTAGTTAATTATTTTGTTAAATTTTTTCCAATAGATGGCACTACATGTAAAGCCAGCAATCATATTTAGACAGAAATTAATTGACATATAGAAATCCAATCATTAATTTGGAGTGGGATATATGACATTTTCTAAGAAGTATTTGAATGTAACTGCAAAGTTCATAGCAATTGGTTGAATGGCCTAGGAGTGCATAGCAAACAAACATCCTCATATATATAGTTTTTATTTAATAATTAAAATACTTTAATATTAAGAGCCATTTGTACTAAAATTACTAATTAGAAATGAATGATTAATTAAATTAGAGAAATCTGAAAAAGAGCTGGCCTGGAGTGTGATTAAAACAATTACTACAAAGTAGGCAGGACGCATTACTGATTATATTGTCTAAGACTCCCAAGTAGAATGTTTGCCAATCTTCAGAATACACAAATCATTTAATTCAGTCTACTTTTGTAATTCTATCCTTCTTTGTAAGTTACTTAATTGTAGGGAACCCGTTCTTGATCAGCGGATTCCTCCCCGTCGGTTCGTCTCACTAATTAATCAACTAGTCCAATATTTCCATAAAAAAACTTTATTTCGCTCTCAGGGACCACTACTTCGCACTCCCTCTCCCTCTCGTGTCCCGAATTCCTCTCCCCAAAAATTCCTTCTTCCCGCGTTTTCTCCCCGGGTCTTAACGACCCCTCGTTAGCGTGTGTCGATGGATAGATCGCATCTGCCCCGACGAAACCCCCCGGAGAGGGAGGACGAGAAGGTCTGATATCACTACATTAATGTCTACCTTCCATTTTGCAAGTGAAAAGTGCCAATGTCAATTTACTAATGTTTGATATGAAGAGTATCAACTATCTAAAAATGGAATGATAAAAATTTCATTTGGCAAGTTTCAGTATACAAAGAAATTCTAAGAAATAATGGCACTGAAGATAAGAATAATATTTTTTAAAATGATATTTATGGAAAACACATAATCCATTGTATTGTCTACCTATAGGTTTTAAAGAACCTAGAAAGATAGGAAATTTTTGTCCATTGATCAATTAAATAAAAAAAAAAATTACATAAATAATCCTATATATCAGGACTGGACATTTTGTCTTCATCATAAACCCAGTATCTGCCAAACCTAGGTTCCATTGTATTTCATTCATATGATTAAACACTAATTACATTTTTGATACAAACCTTTTCTTTTTTGGCCAAATAAAATATTACATCTTCATATAATTCTTTTCTTTCTCTTTCGGGAACTATTCTCCAAATTTCCAAATTAGCAAACATTTGATCTGCTTTTCTATTAAATAAAATTTTATCATTAAAAATATACACATTTTTCTTCTGATCAATTTATTTAATAATTAATATATAGAGTCAATGACTACAACTTTCTCAAATAAAAAATTGTGTGTTTTACATTTCATAATTTCTCTTAAACTAGATGGTAAATACAGATTTAATTTAAAAATACATAAATCTTATAAATTACACAAATGATTATATAATTATTATTAAAGTAATTCAAATAAAATATCAACAGAAGATAATAAAAAAATTAATATACCTATATCGAGTTGTAGAAGTCATTTTTTCATTTACATGTAGAAAATGTTCAAGATCTTCTTTAGCTTTCTTGGCTCTTAATCGTTGTTCTTCCTATAAAATTTTATTTTTCAATTTAAAATTCTTTTAATTGTATTTAGTTTAATAAATGTACATAAGTTTTCTTAAAAACAAATGTTAACTCATCAGATGACATTTGAATTACGTCACGCTTGACGAGTTAACTCGTTAATGGGCATTAAGGTAACTGAGTAGCAAGAGTTGGGGCCTGACATATCCAGGAAAGACTACCCCCTGAAAAATTATTTAGGTTTTTCAATTCATCAAGTTGTTCCCATGTCCCCAGAGAAGTAGGATGGCACCTTAATTGCTCAACCACCATGGAAATATTAGTAATTATATTTGAATTTCAATAAAACGCATAAAAATTAATAAAAATTCAGTTCCCAATTGCAAACAAGTTATTTTTTATTTCATAATAATTTACTTTCAGCTTGTTTGAGATTCAATGTATCTAATCAATAAACGAAAGATTATTCTATAGGGTAGTATTAAGCTTCCATATCAATAATTTAGTTGTATTTATTAATTTTAAACCTACTTATTAGTTTTTTTTTAAATTTTTGCTAGTTATGGCATGTCACAAATGATCAATAATCAATATGTAGCCTATTTGTGGCAGGACTCTGAAAATTCTTTACTTGTTAGAACCTGTAAAACCTAGAATAATTGTGCTTATGCTGTTTTAATTTTTAACCATGCCCAGTTGCTTCAATAACTGCATTATGCTAGGTTGTGCAAATTGGGCAAGGTTACAAATGATTATGAAGTTTTTCTTCATAAAACTGATTATTAAAGCCAAAGGAACTGCCGAATTATTGGGCTATAAGTTTGATGCTGCTATTGAAGCAGCCAAGGTAGACAAATCAAGAATACTAGAGAGCAAAAGAAGTACTACAATCTTGAAAATGAACTAGAAATCTTCCAGGCTACAGGTGAAAAAACAGATAACATCCATCTTCTCTTAAATGCATTAAAGACAATTCCACTCACATCAATTGAATCGGAAAGGGCATTCTCGGTAGCAGGACCTTTCATTACTAAAATAAGAATCAGATTGAGTAATCGGAGTATTGACCATCTTTGCTTTTTAAAATCTTATAAAAATTTACAATAATATTTTGTATTATGTTTTATTTAAATAACAAAAATTACCTTTTAAGTTAGAAGTTTGATCTAAGTTCATTTTTTTTAAATTTTCAACTCAATTCAAAGCATTTTTTTGTTGTNTTTTTCTATTTGTGAAAATTTCTACGTTATTTAAAGGTAATTTTTATTATAGGCCTATAGACCTTACACAGCATTATTAATATGATTTTGAAGATTGCAGAGCATATTAAATTACTTTTAAAAAATAAAAAATAATTATATCATTCGATTTCAAGATATTTTGTATATCTTAAAAATAATTAATTCTATCCCAGGAAACAGTTCACTTTTTCCCAAAATCCCAGAACAAGCAAAAGACCGGGAAATGAGAAACCCTATTAATTATAAATCCTCAAGCTTCCCTTAACTTCATCATGTAGTATGAAAATGAGCTTTAACTTACTTAATCAAAAATTACTAAAATACAAATGTAAACATAATGATCAAAAGTAGATTATTATATTGTTTGATATTTAAAAATTTATGATTAAAGCATCATAGACTATATAAGTGTATATCCTACAGAAAAAATATTTTGTTACATATAAATATATTTATTAATATTTTTTAAAAAAGTACCTTTTCTTCTTTTGCTTTCTGGGTTTTATATGCATTAAAAGCTTGCTTCTTTTCATTGAGCTTTTTAAGAGTTCCATAACGAGGATCACTTACTATCATTTTTAATGCTTGTTCCCAACTCACATTACTTGGCACTTCCTAGAAGGAAAAACTTTTAATTTTAATTTCAAATTTAAATTTTAACCTAATTCAACAAAAGCACATTTTCATGTTTTTTTTTTTGAGTTATTAAAAGAAATTTTAACTTGGAATTAATCATTAAAAATTTTTGCAGCTAACATAATATTAAATGTATTTAATACTGAATTGTTATCAACATTAATGTAATTAATATATATAAAATTATTAAATAATATTTATAAAAAATAACTTAATATAAATAACTAATGAACAGTTATTCAATTTTTACATGTAAAACTTCTTTCATCTTTCTTTTTTGAGAATAAATAATTCTTTTTAAAACCAATTAAATGAAAAGCATATACTTCTAAATGCAATGTGATCTACTAAATTCAAGAATTTCAATTTTATATAATGAAAGTGAAAACAATGTCAAAATTTAAATCTGCTTTGTAAATTTTTTGAAATTTTTATGACAATTTTAACACAAACATAAATTATATTTTGTTCTAGTTTTTAAAAGTAAAATTCATTTTAAACTGAAACTGTAAAAATAAAATATATTTATATAAAAAGATTCTTTCAATTTTATAATTAGCTTGCAACCAAATTATATTTATGTAGTATGAATATTTACCTTCTCACGCAACAAATCTTTGAAAGCTTCAATTGCCTCCTTTTTATCTTTGTAAACAATTGTTTTTGAATTATCTGTGGTATCTTCCTCACTTTCTGATCTACAATTTATAATAAATATTTTAAATTTCAAATTAATAACAAAAAATAAAATTAAACAATGCATTAAATAAATAAAATTTTTTACTTTTCTTCTGTTTGTTCTGTAGAAGCAGTTGTTGATGCTGCATTTTCAGTACCAGGAGGAGCAGTGACTGGTGCTGCCTGAGATGGTAACTGTATATTAGCTAAATTAGTTACAGTTGTTGTTTCTGTTGCATTTTCAGATGATGCAGTTGTTGCTGCAGCTGAAACTTGGGCGGCTGTTGCACTACTAGAACTAACAGGACTTTTTATTGATTCTTTTGCTCTGTTAAATTATTAAGTAATTATAACAAAAGTAAACATCAATACCATATTTATAAAATTTTATATACAAAAATGACATAATTAAAAGAAATTATTAATTAGACAAAATTACTGTTTTTCTCATCATCAGTTATAGGCTAACTTTAATTTCTAAAATATTTTATTAATATTTAAAAAAGTTCTTTCTCTCTCTATAGATATATATATTATTTTATTTATTTGTAATAACTTTATGAAAATTAATTTTTTATTTAAAATTATAAAATTAAAAAAGTCTGAAAATATTGTTGAATATGTTGATATGTGCTTCTTGTCCTTAATTACTTATAATAGTAATTATACTTGTGTCCACTCTGGATGTTCTTGTGAACTAGGATTTGTTATACTGAGGGAAAAGAAACACATCATTTCCAATTAAAATATAGTTACTGTAATGTAATCTTGCATTACAATAAATATATTTTAATTGGAAATGATGTGTTTCTCTTCCCTCAGTATAACAAGTCCTAGTTCAAAAGAACGTCCAGAATGGACACAAGTATAATATTGTTGAATATGTTTCTAAAATAATCTGTAATAACAACAAAATATTCCCTTTTGCTTCAAAACAGGAAATAATAGCCCAAGTCACATCAGAAAAGTTAAAAATAAAACACTTGAAACTATCATAAAAATATTTGTCCTTGTTTTTAGTTGTTTAATAATTTCAGTATATATATATATATATATTTTATATGTCTATCATAATATAAATGCGGCAAATCTTATTTAAATGTAAAAAATAACAGTATGCTTAGGTAAATCAAGGCTAATTTTTTAAATTTTATAAACAAAACAAGATTATATCACTTTTTTTCTACTTTAAACAAATCATATTTACAGTGCATTCTTGCCAATTTGAAGTTGTTTTGTTTGATTTTTATTATTGTTATTTTTACTGAATCAGTAACACATTTTATATGATTCTTTAATTGTGTTTCATTATAACAAATTAATGTAAATAATAATAATAATAATAATAATAATAATAATAATAACTCAAAGATACAACACTCACTCAAAGATACAACACTCACTCAAAGATACAACACTCACAAATGACACATGCAGAAAATGTCACATCATGCCAGAAACTATACAACACATCACTTCTGGTTGCAAGCTCTTGGCACAGACAGATTACTTACATAGACACAATCAAGTAGCAAATATAATACACCAAGAGCTTGCAAAGAAACACAAATTNAATAATAATAATAACATATAACTAATGAACAGTTATTCAATTTTTACATGTAAAACTTCTTTCATCTTTCTTTTTTGAGAATAAATAATTCTTTTTAAAACCAATTAAATGAAAAGCATATACTTCTAAATGCAATGTGATCTACTAAATTCAAGAATTTCAATTTTATATAATGAAAGTGAAAACAATGTCAAAATTTAAATCTGCTTTGTAAATTTTTTGAAATTTTTATGACAATTTTAACACAAACATAAATTATATTTTGTTCTAGTTTTTAAAAGTAAAATTCATTTTAAACTGAAACTGTAAAAATAAAATATATTTATATAAAAAGATTCTTTCAATTTTATAATTAGCTTGCAACCAAATTATATTTATGTAGTATGAATATTTACCTTCTCACGCAACAAATCTTTGAAAGCTTCAATTGCCTCCTTTTTATCTTTGTAAACAATTGTTTTTGAATTATCTGTGGTATCTTCCTCACTTTCTGATCTACAATTTATAATAAATATTTTAAATTTCAAATTAATAACAAAAAATAAAATTAAACAATGCATTAAATAAATAAAATTTTTTACTTTTCTTCTGTTTGTTCTGTAGAAGCAGTTGTTGATGCTGCATTTTCAGTACCAGGAGGAGCAGTGACTGGTGCTGCCTGAGATGGTAACTGTATATTAGCTAAATTAGTTACAGTTGTTGTTTCTGTTGCATTTTCAGATGATGCAGTTGTTGCTGCAGCTGAAACTTGGGCGGCTGTTGCACTACTAGAACTAACAGGACTTTTTATTGATTCTTTTGCTCTGTTAAATTATTAAGTAATTATAACAAAAGTAAACATCAATACCATATTTATAAAATTTTATATACAAAAATGACATAATTAAAAGAAATTATTAATTAGACAAAATTACTGTTTTTCTCATCATCAGTTATAGGCTAACTTTAATTTCTAAAATATTTTATTAATATTTAAAAAAGTTCTTTCTCTCTCTATAGATATATATATTATTTTATTTATTTGTAATAACTTTATGAAAATTAATTTTTTATTTAAAATTATAAAATTAAAAAAGTCTGAAAATATTGTTGAATATGTTGATATGTGCTTCTTGTCCTTAATTACTTATAATAGTAATTATACTTGTGTCCACTCTGGATGTTCTTGTGAACTAGGATTTGTTATACTGAGGGAAAAGAAACACATCATTTCCAATTAAAATATAGTTACTGTAATGTAATCTTGCATTACAATAAATATATTTTAATTGGAAATGATGTGTTTCTCTTCCCTCAGTATAACAAGTCCTAGTTCAAAAGAACGTCCAGAATGGACACAAGTATAATATTGTTGAATATGTTTCTAAAATAATCTGTAATAACAACAAAATATTCCCTTTTGCTTCAAAACAGGAAATAATAGCCCAAGTCACATCAGAAAAGTTAAAAATAAAACACTTGAAACTATCATAAAAATATTTGTCCTTGTTTTTAGTTGTTTAATAATTTCAGTNAAATTTAAAGTTTATATAAAAATTTAAACATTTAAATACATTTTAAATAAAAATGTATAAATATATTTTTGTTTATTTCTCAATTGTAAACAGCATAATAAAATCTGATAAAAATGACAATGTTTTAAATAAATTCCTAATACTGTCCATCCATGTACAGTATTGTAATAAATTGTAATGGTGTAAAATAAATACGTTTTAAATAAAAATGTATATTGCAAGTATAAAATAATTACAATTGTAAACAGCATAATAAAATCTGATAAAAATGACAATGTTTTAAATAAATTCCTAGTACTGTCCATCCATGTGAATTTACATTAAATATCAGCTTTATAAATAAAATCTGGTATTTAATATAGAACAGTTATAAATTATTTGTTTATTATTTTTGGTGTAAAATAAGTTTGATAATTAGGACTGTTATGCTTACCTTTCAATTCTTCCAATTCTTTAGGAATAGTCCAACGAGATTCCTTTGTTTGTATATTATGATAATATACACGCCCTGTATCTGATTTATATTCTTTCCACGGACATTGTGATAACAAGAGCTAAAAAGTCATATTAAATTAAGATTAACAATTTTAATCAACATTATTACCTGATAAATAACATAAAGAAGTATAGGAAAGTGAGAGTATAAATAAAAAATAATTATTACAATGAAAATGTTACCTCTGCATGTGTTTTTAATTCATCTGGCTTGTCCCAACTTGATTGTTTTGTTGCATGATTATAGTAATATATTCGTCCATCTGGAGCTTTGTGTTCTGTCCATTTACTTTTCTGTAATAATTTTATAAATAAAATCAATATCCCGGAATATTTTGGAATTATTCATCTTTTACAAAATTTTAATTATTTATTCTATTATTTTAAGAAATAATAAAATTTTTAAACTGTCTACAAAATTAATATATATTTTAATTACAAAATAAATGTTCATAGTTGTCTTAAATAAATACATATTTTCATAAATCATAAAACTTTAATCATAATTAATATTTAAGAAGAAAAAACTTAATTTGTGAAGTGAATACAATCATTTGCTTTTGGAATTGGATTTATACCAATATAATTAGTTTAATAGCTTGATTATTATAATGTAATCAGATTATTCTAATATATCTTCTAATTACATACAATAACATGTAATCTGAATTAATTTTTTAAAATGATCTCCAATATGTCAAAAATCAAAATCTGAAATAAAACTTTATATTAATAACTTTCTAAATTTTAATCAACAATATGTTCAAATTTAAAACCTCTATAATACTCAATTTTCAATTTTTAGTCTAGTTTCTCTATATATTACACGATTAAATTTGTAGCCTAAAAAGTACCATAATTTCCTGCATATAACTCACAAAAATTGCAAGAACATGTAGCCTGCACATGTTTTAAAACTGACTTTAAACACTAGTTTCAACCAGAAAATTACAGTAATTAAAACTGTAAATTTTAAACTAATCATTATTGGTCTTACATAATACAAAGTCCTCACTCCAGTATTTTCTTTAGGAACAAAAGGAATGATGTTTCTTTTTTGAAACAGCTTTTATATGAATGAAAAAAGAGCAAAAAAAAAAAATAAAATAAATCTATAATCTGATAGAGTTATAGTTTCAAATCCAAATTAATTTTTGTAACAAAAATTCATCTACAGTTTAGAGAAAATTAGCACAAAAAAGTTACAACATAGTGATGATAGGATGATACAGTTTATTGCATGATTGACAAACTTTTATATTCAACTAGCAACCGTTACTCATTCATTTATGTGACAGTCCATGTTTTTAATGTTTCTCTATTGAAAAAACTAAATGTGTTTTGACATTTGGCACTTCATTGAACATTTTTAAGTGATGTGCAGCTCAAAAAATATCTTTAAATATTTTTTGGCTGCAATTTGAAAATTGTAGACCTATAAATTCCTATTGTCATCTGTCTGTCTCCTTCTTTAATCTTGAGAATCGTGTTCGACAGATGAAAGTTGCAGCCAGATGTCAAGGATTCCTATCTTGTAGTGACAAGATAGGCCAAGTTTTTGCTTGTTGGAGCATATTTTCTGGAAAGAAACGGTTAACGAGTCAAGGGAAAGCTGACAGTTGGGAAAGCTGAAAGTTGGCAAACCTGTGTTGACTCATCAAGACAGGTATGCCAACCGGAGCAGACCTGATAGGAAGCTCAGCTCAGCTCATGATTGGTCGGCCAACAGACCTAAAACTTAGATATAAGGCAATGTGACCATTGGGACGGGAAGCCTAGTCTAAAACTATGTAAGAAGAAAGGAGTCTGGACTAAGACCTTGTAGTTAGTAGCAATCAAGATGAATTGCTGTATATCTCTGTAAATAGTGTTAAATAAATAGACTTACTTTGTGTTCAAGGAGTTAAGGTGTCTTTTTGATGGACTGGAATTCAGAGATCATGATTTGAACTTTACTCCAGATATGTAAGCTTAGGAGCAGGTAGTCCCAATTTACTTACTACACTGGTTTCCAAAAATTAAGGAAAATCACAAAAGTAGCAAAAATAAACCAATTGCTATGAAATTTGAGTATGTTGTTAAATAAAAGGTGCTGAACAAAACTGCAATATGCAAAATAGTGGTGCTGCAATCAAAAAGCATCATCTGCAAGTAGCATAAAAATGCATGTTTGAGAGTAAGACTAGGTTTCACTATGATAGTGACATAAGAAATCTGGGATAGACAATTAGTTACAATGACTTTGAGGCACCACTTACTGGAAGAACTGCAATGGAGGGCCATTGGAAGATTAGAAGCAGATGAAAATCAGGCACAGGTGGCCAGATAGTTAAATGTGAGTCCTTCTGTGGCAACAATTTTAAACCACAGATTTGGCATCCAAAAGCTACGTTTAGCCCTGATTAATATTTGCAGTTAGGCATATAAAGGAGTAGAATCTCAACACCACACAACTTAGGTCTTTTCTTGCTACAGATACCAGAAGGATGGTGTACTGTGTGCAGAAGGCTTCAAGAAGATGAGGCAACCAGCCATTTGTGTGCTGTTCACCTTTCACCACAGGAGAGAGCATTTGATGTGAGTATATCGACATGTCCACTGGACTACAGATCAATGGAAGGTTGTTCTCTTCATGGATGAGTCCAAGTTTAGCTTGCAAAGCGATAGCAGACTTTTGATTTGGAGAGAACCTAGAACACGTTATCATCCATCAAATATCCGTGAGAGAGATTCATACAGAGGAGGCTGCATTTGTGTTTGGGGTGGTATCTCTGTAGATGGATGCACAGGCCTCCATGTCTTTCCATGTGGAACAGTGACTGCTCAAGTGTATAGAGATGACATCCTTGATGTCCATGTGTACCCTTATCTAATGAATCACCAAATTGTATAGAGATGACATCCTTGATGTTCATGTGCACCCTTATCTAATGAATCACCAAATGCCAAAACACACACTGATTTTTTTTCAATAGAGAAACATTTAAAACATAGATGTAAATACCATATGGAATGCTCCATATATAAATTATAATTTACTGCTAAGTAATAGAAATTTGTATACATACATATATTTGTAAAATTTTTAGTTCATTAGCAGTGAATTATTTAATTATAATAATTTTTGTAAAAATTAAATCAAATTCAATTATTTCAATTCAATAATTAATGAAAACAAAAGGGTAAAGATGGAAATGCTAGACTGAAAAATTAGTTTATTAATCATACTTACTGACTGAACAGATGATGATGCTGTAGATGTCAGCTTTAAAGATTGGAAAATTATTCTATTAGTAAATGGATGAAGTAAAAATTTTAATTATTATCAATTAATTGTAACTATTACTTATTAATAAAAGTACTATCAAAAACATGTATTTTCAAACATAAAAAATAAAATATATTAATTCTCTTATATTCACTTGAATTATATTTTTTAAAACAATTTAAATATTCAATGTACAGTACAGAACTTGATGAAGATCATATAGTTAACACTTTAATTTCCAGAAAAATTGTTTTATTTTAACTAAGATTAGTTAAAAACAACTAAAAGGTGCTATGCAAGTATATGATGTTAATCAACAGATCTAGTTGGACTCTTACTCAGAACTTGACAATTTATATATATGTGAGATTAGCCGGGGATACAACCTCCTGGAGTACTGCTTAATCAGCACAAAATCGTTAGATTTGATCTCTAAACTTTTAAGGAGGGCTTCTGTAAGAAGGATATAGATGGTGAAGTCTGTATCCACGTCAGGATTTTTGATACCAGTTAATCAGTTTTCTTACACATGGATTAACACGCGTTTACGAATAAATACGGCGAGGATGAGATCTTTTGATTCAGACATAATGAGACATTTCTTAAACATAAAAATATTGAATATTTAATAAAACAAAGAAAATATACAAATTTGACTTTCAATATATAATTATGATATCATGGAGAGAGAGATCACATTTCAATTTAAAAATCATATTATCTCACTATATATATATAGTCTTCTGTATTCTTTCTTGTTCCATTTTAATTCTTAGGCAGCACTTCATTAAACATTTTCTTCTACTTAGGAACTTATAACAAACTTTGTATGAACTTCAAGAGTTGGTTATGGGTGTTGGCCGTGGGGAGACAACATGGAATACATCCTTCTCTTATGGAATTTTGTGGCATACTCCCCAAACAATACTAAAGAATCCCCTTTTTTGATGTTTTTCTCCAATGGAAAAATTGTATTCCTCCCATGTGTTTCGGAAGAGTGGGGGTTTACAGAGGGGTATATGGACTGTTGTGACTCAAAATTTGTGGAGAAGGGAAAACAAAAGGATGTAGAACTTCCGTTGAGAAGGAAGTGAATTTTACCAGTTTCCTTTGTTTTTAACTTAAAAATTTTCTATTAAAATCAGAAATATTATTTCAAAAAATTATAGATTTAACATAAATTTTCAATTAATAAAGGGAGGGGAGTGTTCAAAATCTCACACACATATATAAAAAATAACGTATAGTTGCTAAATAAAGATTTCCATTTTCCTTCTAACATTTTAGTTAAAATGATATAATACAAGGTGTGACAATTAAATTCCAGGACTGGGGTAATAAAAAGACACATAGAATATATAATGAAAAACCCTTTTAATATGTTTCAAAGTAATCCCCCTGGAGGGCAATGCACTTCTCACAACGCTTGTACAAGTTCTTGAAACACTCAGAAAAGTCACTTCTGTTGACAGCTCTCAATTCCTTGGTCACATTACGCTGTATGTCCTCCAGGTCGTTGAATCTTCATCCTTTCAAAGTGATTTTGATTTTCGGAAACAAAAAATAGTCACAAGGCAACAAATCTGGTGAGTATGGAGGGTGGTTCAACTCCACAATGCCACGTTTGGCCAAAAACTCCTTGACAACAGTCGCAGTGTGCAGGTGGGCATTGTCGTGCAGCAGTACCCAGCATCTTCTTGCTGCAAACTGAGGCGTAACCCGACAAATTGTCTCCAGATTGATACCAGTTGTCTCTGCTATCATCCGAATAGACATTTGACGATCATATTGCAGCAAGTCTCTGATTTTTTCGATGTTTTCTGGTGTTGGAACTGATTGAGGTCGTCCAGGGCAAGCATCGTCCTCAAGGTCTTCCTGATCATCCCTGAAACGCGCAAACCACTCAAAAACATGAGAGCGGGATAGGGAATCATTCCCATAAACTTGCTTGATGAAGACATACGTCTCTGTTGCACTTTTAGCCAACTTGTAACAAAACTTAATGTTCGCTTTTTGTTCCATGACAAAAACGTGACAACACTTTCTCACAGCAATATGTGAATGGAGTACAGAAAAAAAACAAGTTACCAGACATGAACAAATCTTTGCAGACAAGTAGCCAGATGGTTGAACTATTATGATAAGCTTAGACAAGTTTCTGCATGCTGACACTGCAGCGCTACATGACCAGTCCTGGAATTAAATTGTCACACCTTATATTTCTAACATTACATACATATTTTAATGCCAACAATGTGAATTGATAAATTGAAATTTATTACAAAAATTCAAAATTATTACTTAATATTTATTAAAAGCAAAAGGATTATTTCTTTTAATATTTTGTTTAAAAAGAATCAGAGATTCAATTTCATTATTAACATATACAAAGTTTTAAATAGTAATTTACAAAAAGGACATATTTCTATCTTTTTAATCAATTCTTGTAGTAATAACAAAAAATTGAATAATTTAATGAAAACTTAAAACAAATATTGATGTAATTTATAGTGTCTCAATCATTTAAATTAAATATTGAGGATAGTGAAATTATTAAAATGTCAGAAAATATGAAAAAATGCAAATAACTGACTAAAACAAATTGCAAATTTAATAAAAATCTATTATATAAAACTAAAAAATTGGTTTCTGTCACGTTATGTCAAAAACAGCCACTACGGGTGCCCCTAGCTATTATTTAAATTAACAAATTATTTTATATTTTTACAGTATAATATTCAGTATACAGTAGACCCCTATAAAATGGGTTCCTATAATTACGATTCCTATAAGACAGCAAAATAATTGCGATGGTATCCGTAAAAAACTCCTATAATTACGTAAAACGTCATTGGGCAGCCGAACTACTTTCCGCGCCGTCAAGTGCCACGCTATGGAGAGATTACTATCGTCTGTACAGTATTATATATAAATTAGGTACTGTACATATAATTATATATAAATTAGGTATTGTATATATAATTATATATTAACTTAATTTATTGTAACTTTATTATAATTATATATATA